TTGGCTTGATCTGTTTGGGAGGCAGCTGTGCATTGGTGCCAGGTCCTGGGCTCGGTGCATGAGTTGGCTGTTTGAATCCTGGGACTTATGCAGGGACACTTGGCTCGGTCTGGGAGCGGGGGAATGGAACTGCCTGGACTGAGTCTATGAGGTCGACCCCGGTCCTCGGGGGAGACCTTGATCTGGAGGAGGTGGGAATGGGGGGTGGGCTGGGGAGAGGTGGGGGCGAAAGGGAGGGAACAGGGGAATCTGTGGCTATTATGTTGAACTGAATGGTGTTGTAAAATAATAATAAAAAAAAAAGAATGGCAATTGAAACCTAGCTTGGCTTAGAAGAAAAACACTCTGGTATTGAGAAATGGGCACTCTTGTACTCTTCTGTGTTTCCTATAAGGCAAGAACAGTGAGCTGGTTCAGAAAAAAAGAACTGTGCTTCCTACACAAACGGGGCATACTTAGTTCCTCTCAGCATTGGAAACTGACAAGAATAGAAACTTTTCTTCATTCCAATACACTGTACTTGATAGGAACAGCCGCAAGTGCTATTTGAACTGTGTATGGCCAGAAGTGCACAAGAGTGAATGTTCTTACCCTGAATTAACATTGCTACTAGATCTTGAAACTGAATGTGATTCAACTCAGTTTAGGAAGGTCAATTGAACCCTATTTTCCCTTACAAGAAATACACTCTGCTTTTGAGAAACGGGCATTCTTGTACTCTACTGTGTTTCCCAAAGGGCCAGAAGAGAGAGCTAGATCACAACAAAAAAACTGTGCTTCCTACAAAAACGGGGCATATCTACTTCAACTCAGTATTGGTAACTAAGTAAAACAGGAGGTCCTCTTCACTCCAATACACTAAACTTGCTGGTAACCGAAGAGAGTACAATTTGTACTGTGTATGGCCAGCAGAGCACAACAGTGGCTTTTCTTACCATGAATTAACACTTGCAGCTAGAACGTGAAACTGAATGTGATTCAACTCCTTTTAAGAATAGCAATTCATCCCTACCTTGCCTAAAAGAAAAACACTCTGCTTTTGAGAAACGGGCACTCTTGAACTCTACAGTGTTTCCAATAGGGCCAGAACAGTGAGCTGGCTCAGAACAAAAGAACTGTGCTTCCAACACACATGAGGCATACCTAGTTCAACTCAGCATTGGAAACTGACTAGAATAGGAGCTTATCTTTAGTCCAATACACTGTACTTACTGGGAAGAGAAGAGATTGCTAATTGCACTGTATATGGCCAGAAGAGCACAAGAGTGGCTGTTCTTACCCTATAATAACACTTGGTGCTGGAACTTGAAACTGAGTGTAATTCAACTCCGTTTACGTAGGTTAATTGAACCCTAGCTTGGCTTAGAAGAAAAACACTCTGCTTTTGAGAAATGGGCACTGTTGTACTCTACTGTGTTTCCCATAATGCCAGACCAGTGAGCTGGTTCAGAACAAAAGAAGTGTGCTTCTTACACAAACGGGGCATACCTAGTTCAACTCAGCATTGGAAACTGACTAGAATAGGAGCTTTTCTTCATTCCAATACAAAGTACTTGCAGGGAACAACCGTGAGTGCTATTTGAAATGTGTATGCCCAGAAGACCACAAGAGTGTCTATTCTTACACTGAATTAACACTTGCTGCTAGAACTTGAAACTGAATGTGATTCAAATCCGTTTAGGAAGGTTAATTGAACCCTATTTTGCCTTACAAGAAAAACACTCTGCTTTTGAGAAACGGGCACTCTTTTACTCTATTGTGTTTCCTATAGGGCTAGAACACTAAGCTGGATCACAACAAAAGAACTGTACTTCCTACAAAAACGGGGCATACCTTGTTCAACTCAGTATTGGTAACTAAGTAAAACAGGAGATCCTCTTCAGTCCAATACACTGAACTTGCTGGTAACAGATGCCAGTACTATTTGCACTGTGTGTGGCCAGTAGAACACAAGAGTGGCTTTTCTTTCCCTGAATTAACATTTGCTGCTAGAACGTGAAAATGAATGTGATTCAACTCCGTTTAAGAATGGCAATTGATCCCTAGCTTGCCTTCCAAGAAAAACACTCTGCTTTTGAGAAACGGGCACTCTTGACTCTATTGTGTTTCGTATAGTGCCAAACCAGTGAGCTGGCTCAGAACAAAAGAACTGTGCATCCAACAAAAATGAGGCATATCTAGTTCAACTCAGTATTGGAATCTAAGTAAAAAAAGAACACCTGTTCAGTCCAATACACTGTACTTGCTGGGAACAGCTGCGAGTGCTATTTGCACTGAGTATGCCCAGAAGAGCACAAGAGTGGCTGTTCTTACCCTGAATTAACACTTGCTGCTAGAACTTGAAACTGAATGTGATTCAACTCCATTTAAGAATGGCAATTCATCCATAGCTTGGCTTAGAAGAAAAACACTCTGCTTTTGAGAAATGGGCACTGTTGTACTCTACTGTGTTTCCTACAGAGCCAGGACAGTGAGGTGGCTCAGAACAAATGAACTGTGCTTCCATCACAAACGAGATATACCTAGTTCAACTCATTATTGGAATCTAAGTAAAACAGGAACTCCTCTTCAGTCGAATACATTGTACTTGCTGTTAACAGATGCCAGTGCTTTTTGCACTGTGTATGGCCAGAAGAGCACAAGAGTGGCTGTTCTTACCCTGAATTAACACTTGCTGATAGATCTTGAAACTGAGTATAATTCAACTCCGTTTAGGAAGGTTAATTGAACCCTAGCTTGGCTTAGAAGAAAAACATTCTGCTTTTGTGAAACAGGCACTGTTGTACTCTACTGTGTTTCCTATAGGGCCAGAACAGTGAGCTGACTCAGAATAAAAGAACTGTGCTTCCAACACAAAGGAGACATAACTAGTTCAACTCAGTATTGGAATCTAAGTAAAACAGGTACTCCACTTCAGTCCAATACACTGTACTTGTTGTTAACAGACGCCAGTACTATTTGCACTGTGTATGGCCAGTAGAGCACAAGAGTGGCTTTTCTTATCCTGAATTAACACTTGCTGCTAGAACATGAAACTAAATGTGATTCAACTTCGTTTAAGATTGGCAATTGATCCCTAGCTTTCCTTTCAAGAAAAACACTCTGCTTCTGAGAAAAGGGCACTCTTGACTCTATTGTGTTTCCTATAGTGCCAGACCAGTGAGCTGGATCAGAACAAAAGAACTGTGCTTCCAACACAAACGAGGCACACCTAGTTCAACGCATTATTGGAATCTAAGTAAAAAAGGAACACCTGTTCAGTCCAATACACTGTACTTGCTGGGAACAGATGCGAGTGCTATTTGCACTGTCTATGACCAGAACAGCACAAGAGTGGCTGCTCTTGCCCTGAATTAACACTTGCTGCTAGAACGTGAAACTGAATGTGACTCAACTCCATTTAAGAATGGCAATTCAGGAAGCAGAAGGAGTCACTGCCAGCCGCCTGCCAGGACAAGCAGCATGTAAAGGTGCCGAAAATAAAATAAATATTAACATGGAGGATAGTTTCAACACCAGATCATCATCATCTACCTTCGTTCTTCAGAGTTCTTCAGAGACAATGGCTTCTATCCAGCTCCTGTATTTCAGAACAAGTTTACTTGAAGCACTAGAAGAGCTGCGTATGAGAAGGGAAGCAGAGACTCAATATGAAGAGCAGATTGCTAAAATTATTACGGAGACACAAGAACTGAAATGGCAAAAGGAGACTCTTCGGAATCAAAAGGAGGCATTAATAAAGGAACATAAAGAAGCAATGGGAATTTTTAAGAATCAGCTACAAATGAAGATGTATGCCTTGGAAGAAGAAAAGGGAAAATACAAACTTGCTTCAGAAATCAAAGAAAAAGAAACTGAAGGATTGAAGGAAACATTAAAAACATTGCAGGTTTCTCAGTATTCTTTACAGAAGAAAGTAAGTGAAATGGAACAAAAGGCCCATTTACACCATCTAGCTAAAGAAGATTACCACAAGCAACTGAATGAAATAGAAAAATACTATGTTACAATAACAAATCAGTTTGGAGTGGTGAAAGAGAATCATGTCAAGTTAGAACAAAATGTACAAGAAGCAATACAGTTAAACAAAAGACTTTCCACCTTAAATGAAAAACAAGAATCTGAAATAGACAGTTTAAAGAAGGAACTAAAAAAAGTAGCTTCGGAGTTGACTAAGTCCAAGGTCACATGCCAGCATAAGATGGAAGAAGAAAGTATCGATCTGATAATTAAAGAACAAAAATATGAAGAGCTTCAAGAAAGACTCGACATGGAATTGGAATTAAATAAGAAAATTAATGAAGAGATTACCCATATTCAAGAAGAAAAACAGGATATCATCATTTCTTTTCAACATATGCAGCAATTACTTCAGCAACAAACTCAAGCTAATACTGAAATCAATGCAGAATTGAAGGTGCTAAAAGAAAATAATCAGGTTGAAGAACTTAGTGGAGAAATGAATGATGCTAAAAGTGAGTTGTCATTACTTAAGGAAACTCATGTTAAATTGCAAGAACATTACAAGAAATTATATGATCAGAAAAAAAATGAAGAATGCAAGAAGTTTCAGAATATTTCAGAACTAAATAATGAAAATAGTGACAAACTACCCAATAAAAAATCAGAAGACACCAGCACACAAAAATACAATACTGGTCAAGAAATATGGGGAAAAATACAAAGAGTTTTTGTTCAGATCCTGATTACTACAGAGAAAAGAAAAAAATGGAAGACCTACCTGTAGAAGAAATTGCAGAAGATTTACAGCCTTTTGAAATTAGTGCCAAAAGCAAAACTGCTACTGTGGTATCTCAAGATGGACACCAAAGTGGAATGTCCCCAAGCAAAGCCCTTTGCCTAGATAAAGATGTAACCGATCAGGAACAAACCTTGGCTGTTACTGACTATAGAAAATCAGTTACTGTAGAAGTAAAAGACAAGGTGTACTTGGAGAAAGACAATGGATGTTCCGAATTTAAATCCCTGAACAATTTCTTTTTAGTGGTAGATGAATCACTAGAAACAGAGAAGATATGCCTAGAAGGAATTGATGGACCAGGCCTTCTCCACAGTGGTGTAGATGTACCTCTGGAGACTCAAAGTAACAAAGCACCCCTTAATGGCATTTCAAATGAGATGGCCCACAAAAGAAACTGGAACACAGATGTTTCTGAAAGCAAGCCATTCAAACAGCAATTCAAATTGCTTCCAGATCTGGAAAATGCTACAGAAAAGGAAATTACAAATCATGACCAAACCAAAGCAGGACTAGATTCATTTCTAGATATAAAACTAAATCTTGATGAGCGTAAGAAACATGGCTCACAGGATTCAAATAATGTTATGTTAGATGATAAGTACCGAAAAATAAAGCAAAGCTTAGGTGAAGAGAGTGAATGCAGCATAGTACCCTTTTCATGTTATCAGCAAGCTCGTAAGGCTGCCCAGAAGCCTGAAGCAACTATCGCCTATGCTATGGGGATCGGCCCGCCCTGTCCATCTGCTGTCTCTGCCGACACTTTAAAAGGACTTAAGAATTCAGAAAACAGTACTAATACTATGTCAACACTGGTGAAGTCTGCCTCAAGTCCTGCAGAAAGAACTATAAGGAAAACTATGAATAACATACAAAACAGTCCATTTAAGAACCATTTGGGATCTTCAGAAAGCAGTGTGACCATCTCAAACTTGCAGGTCAACCAAGGGGACAATCATGCTTCACAAGCCAAAGATTTCAAATCTGTAGTTGCCATGACAACTTCCACAGAAAAACAGCTTTCCAGTGAGAATCAGATAACTGAAACTACAAAAAGTGGTCTCTTTTCCTTGGAGGATGTTAAGGAAAGACAGTGCATGTTGCTAAATAATAGAGAGAAAGCAGAGGCATTACATGACATCCTGTCAGAAGGAACAGTCAGTGAAGGTCAGTTGGAAGAATCGCATTTGTCTCATCTAACACCATCTGCAGATTCAGTAAACACAAGTGCAAGGTCGGCCTTTGATCTTCCCACTCCAGATAAAAAACTCAAGAAAAGTCCAGGATATATGAAGTTTGTAGCCCCCAGTCCTTGGTCAAAAATAAATCAAATTAAAACAGTGGGTACTTCACCTTCCAGCTTTCCTTTGTTGCTGAAGGAGAGACCAGTAGGTCCAGAAAGCAAAGTGATTACTCAAGTGACTTTTTGTGAAAATGTTGGTCTGGATGACACCAGAAAAAATATTGAGCCAGATACTACCAGCATTAGCAGAGCTGCTGACACTGTGAGTAACCGGAGTATCCACCCAAGCCCCAAGGGCCAGCCCCGTAAAGAGAGGAATGCAACTGCAAAGACCTTTTATGATTCTTCTGTTCCCACAGAACATGTGAAAGCAGAGCCTCGGATTTCAACTGTGCAACAAAGCCATTCCCAGGCAAAGGAGGTTACAGACACTCTTGATCTACTTGCCTTTTCTCCTGGAAACACTGACTGGCAGAGCCTTATGATAAACCGACTAACTGAAATTGAAAAGTTACTAAGCTTAGAAAATGACAACCAGCCCAAAAAAAGAAAAGCAGAAGAGATGCTGGAAAAAATAAGTGACTAAATGTTGATCAATGCGTTCAGCAGTCAAACTGGTGTGCTTGGGTGAAAGACTGTTCATGTACGTTTCACAGCTAGCTTCTCCTAGTGTTATGAAGACCCCATCGTGTATCTGCAGAGCTTGCTGTTAGCATCCAGGCCCCTTAACTTTTATCTCCCTTATATATTTCCTTCAAAGTACTGTTTGTTAGTACCTTTCTTTACAGAAAAATATTATGATTAAGACAAACTGGCCATTTTTGAACATTACTTTATGGTGATATTTTATTTGTATTCAAATGTTATTTGTATGTTAATAAATAAAGTTACCCGGGAGTCAGAGCTATTAGCAAGCCATAGGAAAGCAGGGCAGTGGTGGCGTACACTTGTAATCCCAGCACTTGGTAGGCAGAGCTAGGTAACTCTCTGTGTGTTCAGGGATACAGCCAGTATTGGATACACATGCCTTTAATGTCAATACCAATCAATAGAAAACCTGGAAGTCTATACAGACAGGCCATGACGAGGCGGTCATGTGGTTGGGTTTACAACCAATGAGAAGGCAGAACAGAAACACTATAAAAAGACAGACACACAGGAATTAGCTCTGGTTCAGAGAGGTAGGACCACCGCAGGAGGAAGGGTAAGGTTTTAGCTCTTAGCTCTGACCTCTTGGCTTTCTTCTTTGAAAAAAAAAAAAAGAATGGCAATTCATCCCTAGCTTGCCTTACAAGAAAAACACTCTGCTTTTGAGAAACTGGCACTTTTGTACTCTATTGTGTTTCCTGTAGGGCTAGAACAGTGAGCTGGATCACAACAAAAGAACTGTGCTTCCTACAAAAACCGGGCATATCTAGTTCAACTCAGTATTGGTAACTAAGTAAAACAGGAGCTCCTCTTCAGTCCAATACACTGACCTTGCTCTTAACAGACAACAGTGCTTTTGCACTGTGTATGGCCAGAATAGCATAAGAGTGGCTGTTCTTACCCTGAATTAACACTTGCTGCAAGAACAGGAAACTGAATGTCATTCAACTCCATTTAAGAATGGCAATTGATCCCTAGCTTGCCTTACAAGAAAAAAAAACTTTGCTTTTGAGAAATGTGCACTGTTGTAGTCTACTGTTTTTCCTATAGGCCAGAACAGTGAGCTGCTCAGAACAAAAGAATTGTGCTTCCAACACAAAAGAGGCATACCTAGTTCAACTCATTATTGGAATCTAAGTAAAACAGGAGCTCCTCTTCAGTCCAATACACAGTACTTGCTGTTAACACACGCCAGTGCTTTTTGCACTGTGTATGGCCAGAAGAGCACAAGAATGGCTGTTCTTACCCTGAATTAACACTTGCTGCTAGAACTTGAAACTAAAAGTGATTCAACTCGATTTAAGAATGGCAATGAAACCTAATTGCCTTACAAGAAAAACACTCTGCTATTGAGAAACGGGCACTCTTGTACACTTCTGTGTTTCCTATATAGCCAGAACAGTGAGCTGGCTCAGAACAAAAGAACTGTGCTTCCTACACAAATGGGGCATACCTAGTTCTACTCAGTATTGGAAACTGACTAGAATAGGAGCTTCTCTTCAGTCCAATACACTGTACATGCTGGGGAGAGACATGAGTGCTATTTGCACTGTGTATGGCCAGAATAGCACAAGAGTGGCTATTCTTACCCTGAATTAACATTGCTGCTAGAACTTGAAACTGAATGTGACTCAACTAAGTTTAGGAAGGTTAATTGAACCCAAGCTTGCCTTACAAGAAAAACACTCTGCTTTTGAGAAACGGGTACTTTTTTACTATATTATTTATCCTATAAGGCCAGAACAGTGAGCTTGCTCAGAACAAAAGAACTTTGCTTCCTACACAAAGGAGGCATACCTAGTTCATCTCAGTATTGGAATCTAATTAAAACAGAACTCCTATTCAGTCTAATACACTGTACTTGCTGTTAACAGACACCACTGCTATTTAGACTGTGTATGGCCAGAAAAGCACAAGAGTGGATGTTCTTACACTGAATTAACACAGGCTGCTAGAACATGAAACTTAATGGGACTCAAATCCGTATAAGAATGGCAATTGATCCCTAGCTTGCCTACAAGAAAAACACTCGGCTTTTGAGAAATCAGCACTCTTGTCCTCTACTGTGTTTCCTATAGGGCCAGAACAGTGAGCTGGTTCAGAAAAAAAGAACTGTGCTTCCTACAAAATCGGAGCATACCTAGTTTAACTCATCATTGGAAACTGATTAGAATAGGAGCTTTTCTTCATTCCAATACACTGTACTTGCTCGGAACATCTGCAAGTGCTATTTGCACTGTGTATGCCCAGAACAGTACAAGAGTGCCTGTTCTTACCCTTATTTAACACTTGGTGCTAGAACTTGAAACTGAATGTGATTCCACTTCGTTTAGGAAGGTTAATTAAACCCAACTTGCCTTACAAGAAAAACACTCTGCTTTTGAGAAACTGGCACTCTTATATTCTATTGTTTTTCCTATAGGGCCAGAACAATGATCTGGATCGCAACAAAAGAACTGTGATTCCTACAAAAATGGGGCATATCTAGTTTAACTCAGTATTGGAAACTAAGTAAAACAGGATCTCCTCTTCAGTCCAATACCTTGTACTTTCTGGGAACATCCCCAAGTGCTATTTGCACTGTTATGGCCAGAAGAGTACAAGAGTGGCTGTTCTTACCCTGAATTAACACTTGCCTCTAGAACTTGAAACTGAATGTGATTCCACTCCATTTAAGGATGGAAATTGAACCCTAGCTTGCCTTACAAGAAAAACACTCTGCTTTTGAGAAACGGGCACTCTTGTACTGTACTGTGTTTCCTATAGGGCCAGAACCTTGCGCTGGTTCAGAACAAAATAACTGTGCTTCCTACATTAACGAGCCATACCTAGTTAAAGTCAGCATTGGAAACTGACTAGAATAGGAACTTCTCTTCCTTCTGATACACTGTTCTTGCTGGGAAAAGACACAAGTGCTATTTGCACTGTGTATGGCCAGAAGAACACAACATTGCTGTTCTTACCCTGAATTAACACTTGCTGCTAGAACTTGATACTGAATATGATTCAACACGTTTAGGAAGGTTAATTTAACCCTACCTTACCTTACAAGAAAAACACTCTGCTTTTGAGAAAAGGGCACTCATACTCTACTATGTTTCCTACGGGGCCAGAACAATGAGCCGGATCACAACAGAAGAACTGTGCTTCCTACACAAACGGGGCATATCTAGTTCAACTTAGTATTGGAAACTAAGTAAAGCAGGTGTTCCTCCTCAGTCCAATACACTGAACTTACTGCGAACCAAAACGAGTACTATTTGCACTGTGTATGGCCAGGACAGCGCAAGAGTGGCTATTCTTACCCTGAATGAACACTTGCTGTTAGAACATGAAACTGAATGTGATTCAATTCCCTTTAAGAATGGCAATTAAACCATAGCCTGCCTTACAAGAAATACACTCTGCTTTTGAGAAACGGGCACTCATTTATTCTACTGTTTTTCCTATAGGGCCAGAAGAGGAAGCTGGATCACATCAAAAGAACTGTGCTTCCTACAAAAACGGGGCATATCTATTTCAAATCAGTATTGGAAACTAAGTAAAACAGGAGCTCTTCTTCAGTCCAATACACTATACTTTCTGGGAAGAGCAGCGAGTGCTATTTGAACTGTGTATGGCCAGAAGAGCACAAGAGTGGCTGTTCTCACACTGAATTCACACTTGCTGCTAGAATTTGAAACTAAATGTGATTGAACTCAGTTTAGGAAAGTTAATTGAACCCTAGTTTGTCTTACAAGAAAAACACTCTGCTTTTGAGAAACGGGCACTCTTGCACTCTCCTGTGTTACCTCTAGGGCCAGTACAGCGAGCTGGATCACAACAAAAGAACTGTGCTTCCCACAAAAACAGGACATATCTAGTTCAACTCAGTATTGGTAACAAAGTAAAACAGGAGCTTCTCTTCAGTCCAATACACTAAACTTGCAGGTAACCGAGGCGAGTACAATTTGCACTGTGTATATCCAGGAGAGCACAAGAGTGGCTGTTCTTACCTTGAATTAACACTTGCTGCTAGAACTTGAAACTGAATGTGATCCAACTCCGTTTAAGAATGGCACTTGATAACTAGTTTGCCTTACAAGAGAAACACTCTGCTTTTGAGAAACGGGCACTCTTGTACTCTATTGTTCTTCCTAAGGGCCAGAACAGTGAGCTGTATCACAACAAAAGAACTGTGCTTCCTAAAAAAAATGATGTATATCTACTTCAACTCAGCATTGGAAACTGTCGAGAATAGGAGCTTCTCTTCAGTCCAATACACTGTACTAGCTGGGAACAGATGCGAGTGCTATTTTTACTGTGTATGTTCAGAAGAGTACAAGGGTGGCTGTTCTTACCCTATATTAACACTTGCTGCTAGAACTTGAAACATAGTGATTCAACTCCGTTTAGGAAGGTTAATTGAACCCTAGCTTGCCTTACAAGAAAAACACTCTGCTTTTGACAAACGGGCACTCTTGGACTCTTCTGTTTTTCCTATAGGGCCAGAACAGTGAGCTGGATCAGAACAAAAGAACTGTGCTTCCTAAATAAACGGGGCATATCTAGTTCAAATCAGTATTGGTAACTAAATAAAACAGGAGCTCCTCTTGAGTCCAATACACTGTTCTTGCTCTGAACAGACCCAAGTGCTGTTTGCACTGTGTATGGCCAGGAGAGCACAAGAGTGGCTGTTCTTACCCTGAAATAACACTTGCTTATAGAACGTGAAACTGAATGTGATTCAACTCCGTTTAAGTATGGCAATTGAACCCTAGGTTTCCTTACAAGAAAATACTGTGCTTTTGAGGAACGGGCACTCTTGCACTCTACTGTGTTTCCTATAGGGCCAGAACAGTGAGCTGGCTCAGAACAAAAGAACTGTCCCTCCTACACAATCAGGGCATATGTATTTCAAATCAGTATTGGAAACTAAGTAAAACAGGAGCTCCTCTTCAGTCCAATACACTGTACTTGCTGTTAACAGACACGAGTATTATTGCACTGTGTATGGCCAGGGGAGCACAAGAGTGGCTGTTCTTACCCTGAAATAACACTTGCTTATAGAACGTGAAACTCAATGTCATTCAACTCTGTTTAAGAATGGCAATTGAACCCTAGCTTGCCTTACAAGAAAAACACTCTGCTTTTGAGAAACGGGCACTCTTGCACTCTACTGTGTTTCTAATAAGGCCAGAAGAGTGAGCTGGCTCAGAATAAAAGAACTGTGCTTCCTACACAAACGAGGCATACCTAGTCA